AAAAAAAATCATGACAAATTTGTTCATAAAAGTTAAAATCTGAATATCAGTTAAATGTTCACCCACATTACATGGATAAATAAATTTGATGTCGTATAATGGCATACTATAAATTAATACAAATAAATAAATTAAAGATACATACAACAAATCAATGAGTCATAGTTTTCTTGTGAGCCAAAAAGACACAAAATAATACATAAAATATAATTTCATTTGCGTAAAGTTTATAAGCAAGTAAAATTAGATTGCTTTTTTGGAAATGTCTGTATAGATTGTTAAACTAAAAAAATTAGATTAATGACATGAAAATTAAAATATTGGTGATTACTAGTGAGGGTGTGTGATGATACCATATTGAGTTTTTAATATAGAGTATATTTTATTTCTTGACTTGAACAATGATTATTCAGATTTTGTTTTATGTTTAGTAATTTTATTAAGTTTGTGTATTAGAAATGCCTTACAGAAAAAGTATTGCTGTTATTGGGGTTGTGTCCCATCCAGTTGGTTAAACTAAAATTGACCCTGTACAGGGTTTCTGAGAGTGTTGGGTGGGTTTCAACTGCCGATCTTGTGGTTTGAAGTCCAGTGATTATATTACAACTCTACAACAGGGAAGGCATAATCTACCAAGTTGCATAAAATGAAAGTTAAAAAAAATTAGGTACTAGTTTGTTGTTAATTGCCATGTAGTCAGTTATGCCTCATAGTGGCTCTGTAAAGGATTTCTGAGGTATAACCAGTGGGTTTGAACTGCCAACCTGTGGTTAGCAGTCTATTGCTTATCCTATAGACCCACAACAGGATTACAATTGCTAGCTAGCTCCACTGAAATATAAGCTCTGTGAATGTTCTCTTGTCTGAGCATAACCGATGCAGAAGAAAGGAAAACAGTGCTAGAGTTGAAACCTTGAGCAGGTGAAAGTGGAGGGATCCATGGGGATGGTGGGGGACATCTTTGTGTAATGTTGTGAGAATTGCTTATTATTAGAAAAGAGAGCTTTTATTTATTATAGAATTTGTGGACATATATTTGAAGTTGTGAATTTGGTGGCAAGAATTGAAAATAATTTTTCAGAGGGAAGAAGTCAGTTCTTCCTTAATATGAGCCTAGAGGAGACATGATCAGACTGCATCATCACTGGTTCCACACTAGTGGCCCTTCCTCTAAGACAGAACTCACCATGCTTCTGCCCTGCCAGGCAGTTCATCAGGTAGGATTTTCCTGTACGATACATCCCCACAATGGCCACTACCACTGTGGGTTGGGAAATCTTGTGAAGAATTTCTAATGCTTTTGGATTCACTGTCAGTTGCTCGTTCTGGTTTCCCACCAAACAAATAGGAGCAGTCATGATGGGTCTGGAAGTCATGGTAACCTGCAAACCAAAAGAGCCACTCAGGACAACGCAACACATAAATTCATTTATAATGATTATTTAAAATGCATGTATATCACTTTCTGCTTGTGAGCTGTGTTTATTAACTTCTTACATTAAGTGAGGAAATTTTGTGTCCTTCCATTTCAAAGGAAGGTACATATGCCTTATATAAGTTCCTTATTAATGTGTGGTGATGTAGGATAATCACTGGGCTACTAACTGCAAGATGAGTGGTTCAAACCCACCAGCTGCTCCTTGGAAACCTTATACAGGGTTGCTCTTAGTCAGAATCGACTTTATGGCACTTAAAAATAATAACTTTAATCCCTACAAGAGCTTTAAAAGAACTTTACCTTACCCAGGTGGTGCATAAAATGAATAGAACAAGAAAAACAAAGGACACATAATGAGTCCCTGAGAATATTGACAATTGGTGAGTAAATAGAGGAAGAATGAGCATGAAGGAGAGGAGGAATGCTCAGAAAAGTATCTAGGAGCTCCTAGAGAAAACTTGGTCTCTCTTTAATCCAACAAACATATAGTGAGTACCTACCATGTTTTGGGCAGTGCTTGGGGTGCTCAACATGGATACAAATTCTTACCTTGTAGGAACTCTAGTCTAGTAAGAGAAAAAACAAATCTGTTTTGTACGAACATAGTCAGCATGCTCCTTAGAAGTAAGGATGCAAGACTTCATCTCATGTACTTTGGACATGCTATAAGGAAGGATCCATCCATGGAGAAGAACATTCTGCTTTAATAAAGTGTAAGGTAATCGAAAAGGAAAGACTCTTAATACGATGGTGATTGAAAGGGTCAGTAGTTTGAAAATGACAGAGATAAAGACAGAGCCTATATCAATAAGCTCAAACATAGGAACAGTTATGAAGATGAATCAAGAAATGGATTTTCAACAAGTATCATGTTATATGATGCCATTTAAAAAAAATCAACGATGGATTTAGGAAGTGTGCATTATTAACAAACATAGACATCACAGTTATTTTAAGAGTGAAGACACATTATGCCATAAATACAGCTTTGCCGAATCTTAGGAATATAAAATGCAGGATTATTTTTATTGTTGTTAAGCGACTTCTGACTCATTAGCACCCTGCATAGGGTTTCCAAGGAGTGGCTGGCAGGTTTGAATCACCAACCTTTTGGTTAGCAGTTCAGTGCTTATCCTATAGCCCCACACCAGGACTCCTAAATGTGGTTAGTATCCAAGTAAGCAAAAATCAATCTTTTAAGCTTTGCATTATCTGTTAAGATAGAAATACTCTCTTTTATGTTTCTCCAAAGTCATGAAAGGGAAGGAATAGAAAGATGGGAGGAAGGGATCCCACAGCAGTGTCTAAGTGAGGAGGCTGTAATTTGGCTTTCCATCCTAGAAAGGATTTCAGAGCCCTTTCTGAAGATGCACTCTTCCATCTGCCATGTAGGACTCTTTGACATAACCCTGGACAGATGTCTGAAGAGAAACAATGAGTTCTGGGGACACTGTGCATGCTGTCTTCATGCATTACCTTTGCTCTAAATCAAGAAACTGAGCTGCTCAGCATAAAGAGTCCTTGAACAGACACCTTCCAGCTCTGATGCCTCTCTGTCTGCACACTGGCCATCATGGAGTCTGTGCTTGGGAATGTGCTGCTAATAGTTATTTAACAGAAAAGTTCATGAAACAAAGGTTTTGGAAAGACCTTACCTGGAGTGGTCACTGCTGTGTAGTACTGTCTCAGCTGCCCTGCTCACCAGTTGAGCTCCCCTCCTGCTGAGAAACAGAAATGTTCTTTTCAGAAGCTGAAAAGTAAGGCTGACAGTGCAGTCATACAGGATGAAATCCGAAATAGAAAGTAAATTGCATCTGTGATGTTATCTTGCTTATACAGGACACCAGCATGTGGGTTAGGCTGCCTGAAAGTCCAGAGTTGCTCAGTTCATGGGGCACTGGAAATTCAGCTTAGTCTTTCTTTCACAGTTGACTTAGGTGTCTGTCCTTGGTACCCAGAAAAAACATAGAGCATCAGGTGTGAATTCTACAAAAGTACAGCTTTAGAATCCTTCAAAAGTTTTCTCTTAGAGGTGCTTATTCAGGAAAGAGGATTTTTTTTTTTTTTTTAAATTTACTTGCTCATTTACTTTTCATTCTTTTCTCTTTACACAATGTATGTTTCATTAAGGTTCAAAACACACAAGTGTTTGTAGTATTAAAAAAGGAGTTGATTATGGCTCATGGTAATCCCATGTGGCACAGAGTGTAAGTATGCACAGCAGAGTTTTGTTTTGTTTTGTTTTGTGGGGTGGAAGACTAATTTTTGCACATCTTCAGGCATTGCTTTTGCAGAACTGCCTTGTGAGTTTGAACCACCAACCTGTAGGTTAGCAGTTGAGATTAGACCATCTGCACCACCCACACACATAGTGTTGTTGTTCTTAAGTGTCATTGAGTCGGTTCCAACTGATTAGACCATCTGCACCACCCACACACATATTGTTGTTGTTGTTAAGTGTCATTGAGTCGGTTCCAACTGATAGTGAACCTGAACAGGTTTTCTGAGGCTGTAAATGTTTATGGGAGCAGAAATCCTCATCTTTCTCCCACAGAGCAGCTGATAGTTTCGAACTGCTGACCTTGCGGTCCACAGCCCGATTCATAACCATTACGCTACCAGAGTTGCCAATATTGTTGTTAGGTGTCCTCAAGTCAATTATAACCCATAGCAAACATGTGTAGGATTTCTGAGGAGTGACAGGTAAGCTTGAACTGCTGACTATGAAGTTCATAATGACCTTTTAGTCCAGTTATTAATACACAGAACCACACTAGCACTCCAGTGTAACATATTAAGCATCCAATGTTTTAGTCCAAAGAGATAATGGTGAAGGGGCTATGCAAGCACTAAGAATCTGCAGACTCACTGAGGAGGTGATAGATTGAAAGTTCAATAGGGATATGGGCTCAATGCCACAATTATATACATATTGAAGATTTGTTGTTGTTGTTGTTAAGTGCCATCGAGTCAGTTCCGACCCATAGCGACCCTGTACAGGGTTTCCGAGGGTGTAAATCTTTACGGGAGTAGAAAGCCTCATCTTTCTCCCGCGGAGCAGCTGGTAGTTTCGAACCGCTGACCTTAAGGTTCGCAGGCCAATTCGTAACCACTACGCTACCAGAACTCCTTGAAGATTAGGCATGCTCAAAACTGTGCTTGGGTTCCATCCCTCCAACACCAGCACGCGAAAGAGAATAAAATGAGGACATTGGAGATAGATCATTTAGAAGGTATGTTACAATCTACCACTCTATTTCATGTGGAAACATTATTGCACCAGTCCATTAAGATTTTTAGGATCCTTCCCAGTAGTTGTTCTTTACCCATTAATGCATGTACTCATCTACAAGGTCCAAACTCGATTGCTGCCACATCTATGATTCAAACCATGAGAGGGAAAAGAGGAGCCAATGGAGTATACATTAAAATTTCTATAACCAAGACCCACAAGTGGGATGCATAGCCTTCAGTTCATATTCCATGTGCAAACTTAATCTCATGGTCACACCTAGCCTAAAAATATCATCTTCAGCTAAATTGTCATTTGTTATTATTTTTAAGTGTCATAGGGTCAATTGTGACTCCTAGTGACCCTGTATAGGGTTTTCTGAGGAGCATCTGGTAGATTTTAACTGACAACCTTGTGGTTAGCAGTCACGTGCTTTCACTGCAGCACTATACCAGGACTCCATACATTGTGAGTAGCTCACTTTATAAAATGGAATAAAACAATATTTATAGATGAAAATTTTATAACTTTAAAAGTATGTCCTGGTATGGCATTTTGGGTTAATGCGCTTGTGGTTTGAACCACAAGGTTGGCAGTTCATGCTCATCTGTCGCTCCTTGGAAACTCATTGCAGGTTCATTATGAGTCAGATCAGGCTCAATATCACTTAACAACAACCACAATATCAGAATTATATATTTCCAAACTCTAGAATTAAACTTGGCATTTTCAAGAGCTAATCCCAAGTCTAGGTATATATGAAACACAAAACAAAACAACAACAACAAAAAAACCACGACAAAACTTGTTGCTGTGGTTTCAATTCTGATTCATATGGACGCTACAGGACAGAGAGAAAAATGCTCCATAGGTTTCTAAGGCAGTTTGCTACCTTAATAGAAACAAGCGACAGCATCTTGCTCACACAGACAGAGTGTTCAAAAGACAGACTAGTTGGTTAGCAGCCAAGTATTTTAACCCCTGCTTCATCAGAGCTCCTTGGAATAAGCATATCAAAACCCACTGCCGTTGAGTTGATTCTGACTCACAGTGACCCTATATAGGGTTTTTAGGCTGTAAATCATAACAGAGTCAGGAAACTTCATTTGTCTATCATGGAACCACCAGTAGGTCTGTAATTCTTATCCTACAGTATCACTAAGGCTACTTTGGGGTAAATACTGTTGTTGTTAAATGCCATCAAGTCTGTTCCGACTCACAGTGACCCTGTATAGGGTTTCTGAGGAGAAACTGGTGAATTTGAACCACTGATCTTGCAGTTCAAACCAACTCTGCAGTCCAACTCATTAATCCACAGCACCACCCCAAGGACTCCAGTCTTTGCAGAGAAGCACAAACTTGATGTAGTTTCAGTTCACAAGTCTGTGGAGTGAAACTCTGTAGCTAAGAAAAATGTGTGTACAAATTATGAGTCAGTAGGGACAAGATTATAATGAAATGTGCTAGGATCTAGAGTTAGAAAACCAAAAGGGAAGAACATGCTCATTATTTCTCAAATTGCATGAACTGAAGAAAAAAAATCAAACCTCAACTTGCAATATTGAAGGATTCTATGGACAACATTGAATGATGAAGAAAGCATCAAAGAAGAAGGAATGAATATACAGTCATTGTAGCAAAAAGAAATAGTCGTTGTTCAACCATTTCAAAAGGTTGCATATGATCAAGACCCAATGATACTGAAA